AAGATCAGCATACTGTTCACGTCATTCAACAGCCATCGGGCTGTTGAATGACGTGAACAGTATGCTGATCTTGCTTTCGTCGAGTCCAAGTCCCCGAGGCGTAAGATAAAGCAGGAAGGGCCACGCAATTATGAAAGTTTCCCAAGCCGCGCGCTTCCTTCTGCTAAACTCTTGTGCTGAGTCGTTCATCATATTATTTTCTCGAACCAGGTACACGTAGCTAGATCAGCTATATTTAGTCCTTCAAATGGGCCATCAGAAACCAATCCGTCCTCATGGACATCGTCTTCGTTAGATTCAGCCGTAGACCGATTTTTCCACACGCGCAGTCGAAATCAGCCAGCATTCGTTCCGCTTGCTCGATGTTTGGTGTTATCAAAACGATGTCGTCAGCAAAGCGGAGAGATGGTGTAGTTGCCGCCGTCGATCTCTAGTATCCAGTTGACCCATGACATTCCGGAGAAAGGAGCTGAGGAGCTCGCACGAGATGGTGTCGTCCTATCGAACCTCTTTCTTTGCTCGACGATGAGCTCGTTGTAGAATGCAATTAGTACAAATAGCGTATATACCTGAACAAAGGGGATTCAGCTGAACAAAGGGGATTCAGATGACACTGAAGAGAAGTAAATCATACCAGTTGGCATAACAAATAAATCATACCAGTTGGCATAACGGAAACGGTTCGGTTGGAATCATGCAGGCGGTTCAAGCACTGTGAACTGATGAGGATTTGAAGGATATTGCTTTCAGATGGAATTACAATTAGCCCTGTTGCTTTTGTACGGCTTGTTTTTAGTCGAGGGACGGTTCGAAGAGCGGAAGAAATTCCATGGTAAGGCACTTCGTACTGCTAAAAAACGCACTATTGAGTGTTCCATATTAAGATCGGCTGTGTCGGCTGACGACATTGAGAACCTCTTCCGAGCCTAGTAAAAATGTTACAAATTGTTAGAAGTTAGTAAGCTGCACTCAAGTTGTAAATTTAGTAAGTTGCACTCAAGAAAGGTATAGGTAAAGGCACTTCCCATGACCGTAGATCATAGGTAATGCAGTTCAAAAATAGGATTGCCATGTGCTAGTCGACTAACCAAAGAAGAAGAAAGCACTAAAAACTGCCCACAATAAGACCGTCTTCAATTCACTGTTTTATGGCCCTCTATAATTCTTGCGTCAGTCATCACAAGAATGCTGGGTTGTGGGCAAAAGTCGAACCACGGACGGGATTCGAAGCCGGGCCTACCACATGCTGGGCGGATGGCTGCATTCTCTGTTACGAGGCCACTCTTGCCGTCTCAGCTCAATGGCCATTTGTTCGATGTGAAATGCGGGTTCGAATCCCGTCCGTGGTCCGACTTTTGCCCACAACTCAGCATTCTTGTGATAACTTTCGGATCGCGCACTGCGGCGTTAAACAGCAGTTATCAAACAATAACAGCTTAAAATCTTCGTCCAGTTACACTCCGTATCGTAAGGCGAGAAATGTTGTTTTGGTGACGGCTGCGTAATTGCGTTCTGGACCTCCTCTCTCGCCCAGCCTTGTTGTTCCAAGTCCTATTAAGTGGATGCGTTTCTCAAGGCGCCAGCCCTTTTTTCTTTTTTTTTTTCTTAGGGGCAGGCAGCGCTCCAAACCTAGCCTCACTGACACGCTGCCTCATTCGAAGCGAGCAAGACTACATATATCGGAAACCCTGAGATGAGATAGGTGTGGCTGCGCACTTCTATTGAAGCTGACGGTGACTGCGTTTTTGGTGCGACATTTTCGTTTTGGGCGAATGTGTTCATGCCTCTGTTCAACACTGAACAAGATGGCAGTTGTCTCAGGTTGCATCCCACGATAACCCATTCTACGCAGTGTCCAAATGCCACGCCCGCTCCGTCGTAGGGATAAAAAGCATACGTCTCCTGCCCTCCTCACCGCTGCGATGGTCGCAGCCTTCGCAACTACTACATGGAAATGTCCCTTTGTACCCTGGGCCGCACATCCTCAGACTATGAGCCATTGGAGCTCTCGTATCTAGTGATGTGAGCCTAAGTAACTCTACTGGTTATGACAACCTGCCATTCTAATGTCTCAGCGAGTTCCCCTCCTCCCCCCTATAAGACTGAACCATGGGCCTTCGAAGAGAGACATTTAGTTGAAGCATCAGACCACCTGAGTAAACGTTCCACGTATCACAAAACACACGACTATTACATTGGCCGTGAAGTCTTTGAGAAGCAGCTGGAGGACTAGTTCCGCAAGGAACTCAGCCTGTGATGAAATCTTCGGCCGTCATGATAGGAATCAGGAAAATTCAGCTGTTCCGCTCCATCACTGACAGATCTTGCTCAAGAAACCCGTAAAGTGTAATATATTTGGAAGGGGTCCTTACCCTACAATGATTGTCCCATGTCGAATTCATAGTGTTCAACCATCGGCTCACATTACAACACTATAACATCATCTTTTAGTAGGGATTTTGCCGGGAGAAATCAAATGCAAGTTTTGTGCAAATGTCATCTGAACCGGTCCAGAGGAATAGAAAACAAAAGTAAATAGGAAATTTCATTTAACCATACATGATGAATTGATGTTAGCACATAACATAACCCTTCTAATGTGGCCCATTCACCCCATCGAATTCTAAACGAACAAATCACAGGATGCTAAATAAGTTCTATTGAAGGCATACGGCACGATAGTTTGGTACTCGTAATGCTAGCAAGGTGCAGTAACTTGGGTTGATCGGTGGTTCAATCTTATGGCAGGTGGACGCAACTCAAACCACTATGAATGACCTTAAACTTGACAATTAAACGTTCATCAACTTCATCAATAACACAATGAAATTAACAATTAACGATAAACGGTGAGATCAACCTAACAGTAAGCAGTAACCCTAACAAGAGCTTAATATAGCATGAAGCATCAGAAATTTCGGAAAATATATGAGGAAACGACAATGACTTCACAACTCGCATCATTGCAAACGTCAAAATAATCCTTCACAATGGTCGCATAATCGCAAGAGTAGAAACAATTCTTCAAAAGCTCGCACAATTCGTAAGAGTAATCGGAGGAGAGACTAATGAGAAGTGCAAGAAAGATAATTAATAAGAAACAAGGAAGAGACTGGGCTCACTGAGCCTTGCTTGCCCTTTTATAGTGCACTTTGGCGCGCGATCACGCCGCGACTGATTTGAATGATCTGCCGAAGAGCGATCAAGGAAATCGCCAAACCGCGATATGCTATATAGGGTATAATGGCGAAAAAACGAAGTGAAACGGTCAAAAGAAGAAGAAAAAGAGAAGAAAAGCCTTCGTCCTCAACGTCACAAAAAGAAATTTTGATTGACTGTCCCATAGGCAAGCTACGGTAGTTGCAGCTGCACGTATGTACTCCTGTATCCATGCAGCCTGCTGCCGCTTCATTCCTCCTATTGAACTTCGCAAATGAAGACATATGAGCAACAAGCGTGGTCGTCCACTTGTGGGCGAGCAGGCGCAGTGGGAGTCCGGGTGGTTGCAGCTTGATAGGACCCTATAAAGGTACCTCCCTTGGAAAAGGCGCTACGCAGCGTCTGCGCGGAACTCCGTTCTGCCAGGCGTATTAATCCTACTTGTCACAAAGATTCATCGTGCCGACTGTTCTCGCTAGCCCGTGTCAAAGAGAGCTGAACAAATAGGCGTAGAATTTCACTCCGAAAGTGACGGAGCATAATTCTTCACACTGCCGATGACAGGGAGGGCCTCAGTTCCCTCCCACGCCTGTTCGTTCATCTATGAAACTGATAAGGAGAAGCATTTAGGGCGATTTTGTGAACAAATATTCTTGATGACGTGGGAATTTTCATAAAAACGCCTCATCAACAGCCAAATGCTTTACAAGAAAGAGCAGTTTTCTCAGAGGCGAACGGGTGTTTGCGAAACTTCTGACAGACCTGCAAAAACTGATGCAAGCATCTATTGCAATCCTATCCTCCACACCAGGAAACAGCAAAATGGCGTAAGCGTTGCAAAAAAAGTCGTGTTAGGTTATGACAAGAATGCTATTACGGGCAAAAGTCAGATCCCAGGCAGGACTCGACTTGCACATCACGCTAACCAGGCAAATACCCTTTACATAGCGCAACTGGATGCGCTCCTACCCTCCACTGGCTTTTGTGCCATAGCCTTACAGCACTCACTCGTTGAAGCTGTTTTGTACGACAACTGCTGTTTGAACCGTGAACCGAATCTCCATGAGCCGGTTTCGGTCCATCTACCACAACTTCAGTGTAAACGGTAGGATGCGTCGAGGGTGCTCCGATGCGGTAGGTTCCAGCTCTCGCTAAAATTACTGTAACATGGGTCTGAAGACACTTCCATGACACAACGTTTTTTTTTGCTATCTGGATCAATCAATCACGCTGAAGCATCTTCACTGATTTCTGAACCTCCATGAATCACCATCTATGTCGTGAGAGACAAATAATCCAAGGTTCACACTTTTTTTCTTCAGCAGCCATTGTGCGCTATTTCTCAACATTTAGTGGAACTGTGGGACTATTCCCAGGAGCCTAGATTTAAGGACCGAACTGTCAAGGGAGGGACGTGCTCTCACAAAGTTCGCTTCGAGATCTCAAGCTCCTCCAACAACAGATATGCTTTAGCTTGCTTCTTCTTACACAATAAATCTTTTGTAGTCTCTGCTGCCCTTTTCGGAGCCGATTATACTCGGAAATGCCAAAGCTAGCACGTGAGACCGGCGTCAGAAACAGGGGCCAAGTGTTTTCGACTCAAGCAAAGACAAAATAGACTTTTCGACTTGACCCTGAAAGAATCGTCGTCTTTAAGGCGTTAGAATTTTTCTGAGGGCAAAGTTTTGGAAAAACGACTTCCAAAATGGCTCAGACAGTAAGGGTTACGCATATAGTGCCAAGTTCTATGACCTGCTTCAACTCAACAAACTCATCCGAGAAAGACCTGCCTATCTAGAAGAAGTATGACCTATAGGCCCTTGTAGGATTCTTCTTGGTGATTGACGCTTTGACTTCGCATAGCCAAGCAGTCAGTCCAGTTGTTAGTGGGTCTTTTCCAAGAAGCTACCCGTTTTCCGCATTACCCATTTTTCAAGCTCTGGTTTCTACTCAAGAATTGTACGGTTTGCTGTGGTACAAATTATAAAACACTTACAGGTGCCCTTTCCGTCACCTTCATCATGCTAGGCCATCTACTCATCACACTCGCTATTGTTCAGGTGGTTTGGACAAAAGTTAGTTTCATTCCATACTTCATTTTAATCGCATCGCATAAGGTCCTACTCGCTAAGAAGGTGCGCCTCGTCAAGGTGGCTGGGTTTGGCACAAATCAGCATCCATGACGAACTACGCTTCCCATCCTTACAACTATTCTCTACCAACTGTTAAAGCTGGTTAGCGACAACAAGTGGTGGGAAACGGGCTGAAGCCGAGGCAAACCCAGCCCTCCTGAAAAGCCTCAGCATCCACTGCTGAAAGGCTGTATGTTGTTGAAGATAAGGCTTAGCATTGTGCCTTCTTGCCGTACATAAGGGGAACATTGTTGACAACATCATTTTCTTATTCCGTAATTTCACCCAGAGGCCAAAAGTCGCCAGGTAATTTTGAGACGTCAGGAAATGGTCCAAAGATAACTCCATGGAAGTTAATGAAATATTTCAGGCCAAACCAATAGACATCTTCAATGATCCTGGTGAAGGGGATATCCTGCAACTTCGCAATCTGAAGAAGAATGGCACGTATGTTCCAATACTTGTTGTATTCAGTGAAAAATCATGTGGTTCTATCAAAATCGGGTTCGATTTCGGTGAATGAATAGAAAAATCTTGCATTCTAGGAAAGTGTACAATGCCCTGTACAGTAATTCCGACCTGAAATGGATTCTTACTGACGAAGATGGGAACATCCGCATACCGTACACGATTACAGGACCATTTAGTGAGTTTACAGAGAAAGTCGCTTCTTATCAGAGCTTAATAAGGGGCGTTCCGGCAGCGGACAGGTATTTCCGTGGGGAGAGGCGCCTCCCTCCCACACACATGCCTCTTTTTTGTCCAAACTGCGTAGTGCTTGCGGAGTGGGCCTGTGTTTCCTTAGATATGGCTATATAGTACAAACAACTAGGGGGAATGTGAACGTCGCACCCGTCAAGAAACGACAATATGTATAGTGTTCCGGATGAGAGCCAAGAGAAAATGTGGCTGAGTTCAAGCATTCCGATCCCGGGTCGGTTCAGGAGGGTCAATTGTTTACACTTTTTATTAGTTGTTGGTTGCCGTACAATGCTAAGAATGACAGAACCGTTTCGGTTAGAGGCGCTGTGAATACGCCGTCGAGCAAAATAGTTTGAGTGAGCCACTTTGGTTACACAAATATGCTTTTAGCGTGTACAAGCTTGGCTGAGCGACATTTGCTGCCCCCACCAAGCCGCATTGCACCGGCAGCGGATACATCGCAGGCGTGAAGCACACAAAAAATCAATAGTAGGAAGGAACTTTTCTCGATAGGAATCCGCAATCGGCTGCTTCCCCAACCACCAAATACGAGCCCTCTTCTGAAATTCGCACAGCGATGGTGTGCAGTGGTTGGTGCGAGGTAAAAACTGAGCATCATCTACCTTAAAGTGGCCTGGACAAGTTCCCGTGTGTTCTTTTGTTCCGAAGGGATGAAAAGGGATAAAGCGCAGCGGTACTGAATTCAGAGCAGGCCCATCTTGGGTCGCTTAGGATACGTGCCGGTATGAAAGAGATCTTCCGCTAAACACGACCCCACTACTCTTTTCCATGATGTGAGTTTTTCCAAGCTAGTCGTATGGGCGAGGTCAGTGCTATCATTGTGTCCTTCCCATCAACGCGATTTTATTTTCTGGTACATCAAAAAGGCGAGACTTGTTGACGGAATGGTACGGCTGACTCGTGCATGGCGGGCCTGTACGGACTCTTCAGCAGCGTGGAGCGGCAAAATAAATAGTAAAAGATGACTCCTTCCCTCTAAATATGGTACGAAGAAAGCAGAACGAGCTTCCTTTTTTCAAAATGATTTTAAAGATTCTGCTGGAAAACGCGCGATAGCTGTAGCGATGAAGCGAATTGCAAAGAACACCTGCATTCGATTTATTGAACGGAAAGATGAAGAGGACTATGTCGATTTGGTGAACAAAGAAGGCGAAGGGTAAGTTAAAAATACTGTAATAGAGAAGACATGAGTATGTCGGAAAAAAGTCAGCCAACAGAGAGTTTTTACACTCTATCCCAGAGATGGAGAGTCCGTGGTTGCGTACTTCATTTGCAGCTGCGCTTCTGAAGGGGTGTTGTAATTGCAGAACAGTCGTCACCGTGACGCTGTCGAGTACAGGTTAGGAAATGACTTGTACCGAATGGGAATACCCACGAACGATGCATCCTTCGCCATGTGGAGCATGCAGCCACGCCCACTCCATCGCTGGGATGTGCTGTGTATGATATCGCAAATGAAATGGTGCTTGTGAATTTCAGATGCTACACAAGTGTCGGACGCATAGGAGGTCGTGGTATTGTGCAACTTGAATCCAGCGATGATGCAACGTAAGTCTAGCAGGAGCTTTATGAATCCCGCAAACATGGTGATTCATGAGCAGTACTCTTGGGCACACCTCCCTCCCTCCCCAGCGGCCAAGTATGACCCTCCATATGTTTCACACAACAATGCTGTCCCTGTCTCTAATCTTTTTTTTGACTTGTTATTTGAAAGAGCCCGTTCCGCTTTCGAACATGGACTGTATGCTTTCAGATGCATGACGACGCCTATTGTCATGCACGAGTTGATGCATGTCGCCGGTCTATGGCATGAACATCAAAGATACGATCGCGACAATTACATTGAAGTTATGTATAAAAATATCGCCAAAGGTTAGCTGAGCTCTCGAGAAGAATTTCGGAATTTTAAATATTGGAATATTCATTTCCCCAGTTATGTTTTAGGTCCGGCGAATAATTAGGGGGCGTCCATGTTTTTTGAGGGGGCATTCAGATGAATTATTCAGATGTAGTGCAAAACTGGAACTAACTTTATGCGAACTCATTCACCATGTTTGAGATTGCTTTACCCTCGCCGGAGCTCGTTCTCCTTTTGAGCTTGGGCTAAAGTTCCAATCTCCATTACGACAATTCGATAGGAAGTGGGATGAGGAAGGAGATCACCAGAGAAGAAAATTTCAAGCGCGTTTTAGTCTGTTAGAGTTTTCCCAAACGGCAGGGTCTGGCCTTGATTGCAAGTAAATAATGAAGTCAGTCCTAAACTAGGATCAAGCGAATGTGGTCAGTGATAAATAAATAAATAAATAATTCGACCAAATCCAGACTCGCGGAATAGTAAGGGATTACCAATAGTACTATGAAAAATGTTCAGAATACCACGATCAATTCACGAAAGTGTCGCCCTTCCAAGCCACCACCTACAATGTACCGTATGATTATGAGTCTCTGATGCATTATGGGAAGCGGGCCTTCGCGAAGCCAAACAAAATCAGCATGCGGACCAGAGATCCGGATCGGAATACCAGGTGCTTTCATTTCCTTTTCAAACATTTTAATT